GCAGCCGGGCAGTTGGATGGCCTGCCCACAGTCACAGAGCTGAGAAGTGACAGGACAGCGGCTCCCACTAGATCTCTCAACCTCAAGCTCTTCCCTATTTCTACGAAACTCTACATTTTCACCGACAGCCACTTCTAAAAGTGGAACAAATCCCCTTGTTCTAAGATGTTATGAATCCTTGACTGATATATTTTTACCTGAAAGTTAACTCACAACTGTCCAATTATGGATAATTCTATTTTATTCTATTTTTATTTCTATAAATGGAGAGAGTCAACTGATGATAACAGATATGTGAAGATTTTATAAAAAAATGTCTACATAAATTGTCTCGGTTCTTCTTGGGAAAAATCATGTTTCATTTAATATAATATAAATAGGAGCTGCTATTTAATGAGTATTCACTCTGTGTATACCCTGTGCTGGCATTTTACATATTTTATTTCACTTAAACTTTCTAATAACTCAGCCCAGTAGGGACTGTTATCTCCATTTACATGCAAAGAAACTGGAGGTCAGAGAAGGTAAATAATGTTTTGAGAGTCACACAGTGGCAGAGCCAAAAACTAAACTAGGATCTGCCTCTTTCTCCAGAGTTCATGTTCCTAATATACTATCCAGCCTTATTAGCACTCTTCACACAAATGATATAATTTTAATTTAATAATTTAAAAGTATCTTCAGTAGGCCAAATATGAGAGAAAATCAACAGTGGTCATCTTAATTGCTTAATGAAAATGGCAGGTAAGTTAGTTTTCTAAGAAGCCAGAGGCATTAAATTTTGGGGACAGCCCACAGGTAAAACAGAAATAAAATGATAAAAAAGCAGTCTATCCCTGTGTCTTCATCTTGAAGTCTCTCTCACTCTTCTCTGACTTCTTCTCATTACTTAATTTAACCTGGTACTGAAGCGTTTCTTATGTCTTTTGAGACATACATCTGGAAAGCCCTCCCTCCAATAATGTACTGAGCTCATGCGTCATCAGCCAGCCGACAGCTCAGCGCTGCTGTCACCATAAATAAAGCTGTAATTTTATTACTGTCAGGAGTTCAGATGGAGGCATGCCTACTTACACGAAATGCGTCCAGCGTTAAAGGCACGGGTTGTAACAGACCTAAACCACGCTCCCTCTCCTCCTAGGAGGGCAGATCTGCAAGGCATGGCTCTCTGCAAAGAATTCAGGATGTGGAGGCATGAGTTACTGAGATGTGAAGCCCTGGTCAAATTCACAGTATAGCTGAAGAGCTAGTTTTATAAGAAAAGCTTTCAAGGGAGGACATCAAAGGTTGTCAAGCCTGAGGGATGGCCAAGGTGAAACCAACAGCCCTTTCCAGTCCTGGCATCTCAGAGGACTCACGTGGCGGGTGCAGCGCCCATCCTCCAGGGGCCTGGCTCCACTGAGGACCTCATTGCTTTCTCAGCCTGAAGTCCTTTAAGTCTCAGTCAATGTCACTTCCATTCCCAATCCCCCAATTTTTCGCTACCTCGTCAATCCTCCTGGACCTTCCTGTACACATCGCCTCTGGATCACTCAGGACGTTTTACTGAGATGAGCTGATTGCATGCCTCTGGCCCTCACTAGACAGAAAGACCGGGATCCTGTTGCATTTATTTCCACATTCTTGGAGCTCAGCCCAGCGCTTGGGACCAGGGACCAGATCAGTAAAGGGTTTTTGCATAAGACCATTATTTCCCCACTGAGAGATAAATCAACAGCAATAGCACGAGGTACCAGAGAACTACAGCCAGACCCACCAGCCAGCAAACTGTGAGAGAGAAATAGTTACTGGGAAGATTGTCCAAGAAGACAGACTTACGGTGTCTGAAGGTCTAATCAGCTAATCTTGCTGAGTGGTTGACTGAGGCCATCGAGACAGAGCAGGATGCTTATTGGGGTCACTCTTCCACCCGCACACAAGGCTTCACATTCCCGACACGTGCGTATCTGCTTTCTACCCCATATCATCAGTGCACTACTATTAATTCACTGACACAGAACTCATGATCATGATAAGCAGGACTTTATCCAGCACACTTTTTCTTCAGAGTGCAAATGAATCATTAAAATAAAACATACGAGCATTTTCCATGAGTAAGTTTCTGCTGCCTCCACCTCCGCCCTGATGTGTGTAATGATGTGGCCCCTGTGTCTCCACCCTGCCCGGGGCCAGAATCAAGTGACGCCCCTCTCCATTAGCAAACAAAGTCCTCCCCGAGACAGGGTCATAGACTCCCAGGGAGAGAGGGAAATCCATATTTATTTAAGCATCCTCTGTGATAGATCATGTGCTCATACTTTAGATATAGTTTATATTTAAAATAGTTTATAGATATTTTAAATATGGTTTCTGATTTACATTCACAGTGATTTTGCAGTGTAGTTACGATCTCCATTTTACATGAAACAACGGTCAGAAACAAGGAAGAGCTTATCCTGGCTAATATGTTGACGAGGATTTTCACAAAATTGTAACTGACTTCATAATTCATGCTCTTCCTACCAACATCACCTCCCTTCCAAATTGTATAATCGGGAGGGTTTTGTTCCCAGAGGGACGTCATGACTTGCTGAATGCTTTTTTTTTTTACCCATTGAATGAGTACAAATCAAACACCTGCCAGGTGCCAGCCGCCATTCCAGGTGCTGAGAATTCCACAGTAAAAATGATGGATACGGGTCTTGCATTCAGAGAGCAAACAGTCCAGCAAGGGAATTAATTGTCTTCTCTTATATCCAGTGTGCACGATAATTCCCCGTGTTATATGAATTACTATACCCCAGAGGCTTTGGGAATATTCCATTAAAAACATTCAGCCCTACCCCTGCAAACACGCCACATCCCATCCAGCCAGTGCTGGATCAGTTTGTAGATCATGGTCCTTTCTCTGATGGAAGCTTCCGGGATTCATTACCAGAAGTTTTCTTTATCAACAATCATCAAGTCTTCGGAAATATCATTGCCATATACAAACCGATAACATAAAAACCATTTCTGTTTTTTCAATAAAATGGTTTTCTAAAGCACAATTTACTTTTCAAGACAGTAAATCTGGTACCACCTCTCTCTAAAAACAATCAATCACAACAACAAAACAAAGGCAAGAAATAGCGCTACAAACTCCATCTGCAATGAGACTGAGAGACGTGTAGGCCTATGAGGGCACGCTGATGGAGGATTCCCGGCAAAAAAGGCAGCAAGGGAACGAGGAACGCAGGCTGGAGACCAGAGCCTCCTGGGACCGCCTTTGCCACCAAAGAGAGTCAGTGAGGGGGGCTCAACAAAGCACCAGGCGGATGTGCAGATGGGCCCCCGTGCAGGGAGACGCTTGCGGGTAAGGGGGTGGTCAGAGACCGCCGGGTGGTGGGGGGCCGGCGAGTGTCAGCTTCCGTCAGATGGGGGAAAGTCAAAGCTCATGCAGTCTGGCCTGTGTCATGGCCATCCATCCATATTAGCTTTCACCTTGTGAAAACACTTTCTGTTTTGTTTAAAAAATTGCACATCATTTGAACTTTAGAATACATACATATGCATATATATACATAAATGAATATACACATATAAAACACTGTATTTTAAAATATGGCCTTTGGGATTTTTTCCCTTTTTCCAAACAAGTATAAATAAATATGAATCTCATTTAATGCACTTATATCCACGGAAGAGCTAGCAAAGCGGCTCTCCGGAGGAGCAGAGACAGCTCTGATTTGGAGCATTTACCAATTTCTGCATTGTAAATACTCCCACCATAGTCAATTTCAAGGGACAACATTTTAGTGCCTGGCTCACAAAATTCGTAAATATTTGACTTCGGCTCTCGTGAGCCGGAGGAACCAGCTGTGCCACAACACGTCCCTCCATGCCCATCCTTCCTATATAACGGCAAACGTTTGTGAGGTGCCCTGACATCGTGCAGATTATCTTTTCTTTTTCTACGCACAATCACTCTGCAAGGGAGTGGGTCAGGATATTTCCATCTTTATTTTACGGATTAGGAAAAAAACATTTTTAGAAAATCCAAAGAAGATCGAAGAAAATACAGATCGACATCAAACATAAAATGTATTCCCTACATGTTTGATGATTTGAATTCTTGACAGTAGGGATGGAGGAAAAAGAGACCAGAGAATGCTGAGGTGTGAGGTACCCACAGAAGTTCTAGAGAGAGCGGCCGGCCCGCCCGGTTCTGCCCCGAGCCGGGGACCCCTCCTGGCAGAGCCCGGAGCAGGGAGTGGCTGCGCCCCCCCGGGACCCGGGCTGCGTCCTCGCTGGAGTCTCCAGGCCCGGTCCTGGCGCAGGGCGCGCGCTGCAGCCGCTGTTCCCTGCCCGGTGACAGCTGGCCGCCAGCCTCCATGAGCCTGCACGTGGGCCTCCAGCCACAAGCCATCTCGTTTACGGCTCAGGAACTTTTCCTTTAACCTGCTGTAAAGTTGGTCACCCCTCAGCTTTTCTTTCTCCAGGCTAAGCAATCCACTTCCCCCAAAAGTCCCCCTGGGTCCTATTTCCTCACCCCTTTATCATCTTTGTGACTCCTGTTGGAGTTCTCTTTGAGAGAAACGAGAATGAGCTTCCGGGCGAAGTCTCACCCCTGACCCTGGAGTGAAAGACCAAGGAAAGCGGAGCGCAGAGGAAAGTGTGGGCATGGGGCCGCTGCTTGCAGGAAATCTCTCTCCCCGCCCTCCCTCGCCTTCCACAGGGACACCGAGGCCCCCACATCAGGGCCACCCTGCCGCAGAGCCTCCCTTGTCCGCACCGACACTGGGTGTCAGAACAGAAGAGACTTAGAAATGACCACACACCCTTCATTTTAGACACGGGGAGGCTGGGATCCAGTGGATTTAAATATCTTGCTTAATATCAAACAGTTAATAGAAGAGAGAAATTAGAACCAAGACGTCCTAATGCATTCGTGGTTTAGAGCTAAGTGTACTCTACAAAATAGTGAATCATAGCTCTTTCAGACATGAGAAGACAGTAAGAACAAACAATATTCATGCTACCTATTTCCTTTAAATCGTACTGGCAGGAATCTTTTCAGTCTTACTCTCCATTACGTCCCCAGTTCCCAGAATAGGGACCAGGATGGAGTTTTCCTTCCACGTGTACAATCGGCCTTCTCCATCCGCGGATTCAACCAACGGCAAATCGGGTACTGTTTACAATTTGCGGTTGGTTCAATCTGCGCATGCGGAAATCACAGGAGGACGCGGAACCCGCAAGCAAATATGGAGGGCCAACTCGGGGACTTGAGCATCAGGGGATTTTGGTATCCTTATCGGGGCGGTTCCTGGAAGCAAGTCCCCACGAGTCTCATGGACTGCTGCGTTATTCGCGTTGGAGGTACATCCCTTACCTAACTTGCCCCTCTGCACAGCTTGGTGAGGATAAGTATTACTGATGAGAAAACTGGGGTCCTTTTCATTTTATTCCTTTTTCACACAGTGTTTGTGATTAAAAATCATAAACTTGTAAGCGGCAGAAACTCTCTAGAATTACTTTAATTACAGAAAATATGTTATAGGGAGTGAGCAGTATGTGAAATACAAAGGCATACCATGTAGCCCAGCCTCAGGTGGAGTGAGACCTGGAACAGGAGCACCTGTGCTCTTTCTCCCTATGGCCATGGGGAGTGGAGGCTGCTCCTGGCTTCAGTGGAACAGGTAGAAGAATGACATAGGGAAGAGCGATGTTTCAGTCATAGTTCTACCAATCGCTGTGTGATCTCAGGAAAATCACCTAACCTCTCTGAGCATTATTTCCCTATTTATAATATGGGACAATTGATCTCTGCTCTTCCTACCATGGATCAAATAAGCTAACGTTATGAAATACTTGGAAAAGTTTAAAATAGGATAAAACATAAGATTAATGTTTTACAATGAAGAATTGCCTCTTTCCTTGGCCTGGAAAACATAAATCAGATGAATAATAATTGCCATGCATCTAAAGACTTTCATTAGAGTTTCACATCAAGTATTGTATTGAAATGACCCGCAGTGAAATAAAACTTATTTAGGGATGTAACATTTCAAAAAAACATAAAATAAAATCTCACATTCTTTTTAAAGACCTTAAAGCTTTGAGTTTTTCAAATCAGAAAGAAGCAAGAAGCATATAAAACATTCACTCACTGACTTGATGGCAGGTCTGATAGGCGGGGAGCAGGCTCAGAGATTCCTGACAGGCAAATTGTTCACCTCTGGCATGCTTCTTGCTCCAACAAAAACAGAGTCTTTGAAAGAATTTACGTTGTCGGATGGTGTTATGTTTACTGGATCTGATCCTAAATCTTAGAAATTAAAAAGGCTTTAAGTCTTGATCCTTGCATGTCACAAAGAGGTGAAACTATTTTGGAGAAAAACAACATGCTTTAGCGATAGCCTGGGGGCAATGTACAGACATGAATTCTCGAGTATTTTGAGTTTTACACCTGGAAAAATGAATAAGCAGCGAGTAATGGCTCTTTCTATTCATGGGTAATTTCATTCAATGTATCTCCTCATTCTATCTGTAAAAAAACCCACTGTTGATATGTAAATGCTTTCATAAATTATATTAGTTTTATTGCCTACAGTGACTGTGAGAAACAGGAAAAGTATAAATTAACACAAGTTCTCTCTTACTTTGACGTTCACCTGCTCATCTGTTCATTCATGCATTCTTTGAACAAACATTTCTTTAACAAGCATGCTGTGTGAAGGAGCATGGAAAGTTCTAGAATTAGGGTACGTTATGAAGAAAGAACTAGCTATTTATGGCTTTATAGCTCAGTTAGATAAACAAGGTAGATCAAGAGACTAAAAGTAAAGATAGAAAAATATAGATATAGAACAGAACTCATCAATAGGGCAGCATAGGCAGACTCTGAACTCACCTCCTCCCATGAACACAACCAGGTTACAACTATTCTTGGAAAAATTACCCTGGAGAGAGAGCTGAAAACTGGATAAAAAGAACCCCAATAAGGGACAGTATTGACTGAGGCAGAAGAGGCAGAACTTCCTTCTGGAGAGAAAAAAAGCCACCTTCGTGAGCCGTGGACCTTCACTTCACAGCCAGCTGGGCAGGAGCCACCCCAAGGTACACAGCCCTCCCTGGAGGAGTGCAGATCTGAGCAGGGGGTGTGTTACCGCTATAAGCATCCTTCAGACTCAGCAGAACTGAGATGAGTGACCTACTATCTGGCTTCATTGGCTATTAACTGCTATGGGGGATACCTTCAGAAAAGCTATCTGTTGAAAGCCAAAAAAAACAGGCTCTTAAAGAGCCCATATACAAATTCATTTGTCTCAGAGAACAACTGAAAATCACCAGAAAGAAAGCTGCACAGTTCTTCAGTGAAATGAGACTTGCCTGGTAGGCTCTGGGTGCATCTCGGTGTCCCAGAAGGAGAAGAGAGAGACAAAGGGGGAGAGAATCTATTTGAGTAAATAACAGCTGAAAACTTTCCTAACCTAAAGAAGGAAACAGACATCCAGGTACAGGAAGCAGAGAGAGCACCAAACAAGATAAGCCCAAAGAGGCCCACATCAAGACACATTATAATTAAAATTTCCCAAACTAAAGACAAAGAGAGAATTCTAAAAGTGGCAAGAAAGAGGCAACAAGTGACATACAAAGGAAAGCTCATAAGGCTATTGGCAGACTTCTCAGCTGAAACCCTACAGGCTAGAAGAGGGTGGAAAGACTTATTTAAAGTGCTGAAAGGAAAAAACCTACAGCCAATAATACTCTATCCAGAAAGGTTATCATTCAGATTGGAAGGAGAGATAGAGTTTCCCAAACAACCAAAAAATTAAAGGAGTTTATCACCAAGAAAGCTGCTCTACAAGAAATGCTGAAGAGACTGATTTAAGTGGGAAAGAGAAGACCACAAATAGGGCTAACAAAAGTATATATAAAAAAAAAAAAACCAAAACAGGCAATAAAATCAATAGTAAAGGCAAAAATACAGTAAAGGTAGCAGATCAACCACCTATGAGGATAATACGAAGGTTAAAAGACAAAAGAACTAAAATTACTTATTTCAATGATAAGAGGGTAATGGATAGACACGCACAAAATAAGAGATTAGATATGATTTCAAAAACATAAAATGTAGGAGGAGGGGAATAAAAGAGTAGAGCTTTTAGAAAGAGGTCAAGCTAAAGAGGCTATCAACTCAATATAGATTGCTATATACGTAGAATATTACATAGGAACCTTACAGTAATCACAAACCAGAAAGCGATAATAAAGAAACGAATAAGTAAGAGGAAAGAAATAAAAAATATTACTGAAAAATTGCTAAAAAAATATTACTAAATAAAGCCATGAAGTCACAAGGGACGAGAGCAAGAGAAGAAGAAGAGAACAGAGAAGAACTACGAAAACACCCCAAACACAATGATCAAGTGGGATTTATTCCAGGGAGGCAAAGGTTGTTCAACAGCCACAAATCAATCGGCATGATACACCACATTAACAAAATGAAGAACAAAACTCATGTGATCATCTCAGTAGATGCAGAGAAAGCATTTGACAAGATACGGCATCCATTTATGACAAAAACTCTAAATAAAATGGGTGTAGAAGGAAAATACCTCAACAAAATAAATGCCATATGTGATAAACCCACAGCTAATATCATTCCCAATGGAGAAAAACTGAAAGCTATCCCTCTGAGAACAGAAAGCAGACAAGGATGCCCACTGTCACCACTCTTATTTAACATAGTATTGGAAGTCCTAGCCAGAGCAATCAGGCAAGAAAAATAAATAAAAGGGATCCAAATTGTAAAGGAGGAAGTGAAACTGTCACTACTTGCAGATGATATGATTTTATATATAGAAAGTCCTAAAGAATCCAATAAAAACCTTTTAAAAATAATAAATGAGTGCAGTCAAGTCACAGGATACAAAATCAACATACAAAAATCGGTTACGTTTCTATACACTAACAACAAAGTAGCAGAAAGAGAAATTAAGAATACAATCCCATTTACAATTGCAACAAAAAGAATAAAATACCTAGGAACAAACCTAACCAAAGAAGTGGAAGATCTGTATACTGAAAACTATAAAACCTTGTTGAAAGAAATTGAAGAAGTCACAAAGACATGGAAAGATATTCCGTGCTCTTGGAATGGAAGACTTAGCATGGTTAAGGTGTCCATCCTTCCTAAAGCAATCTATGCATTCAATGCAGTGCCTATCAAAGGTTCAAGAACGTTTTTCACAGAAATAGAACAAAGAATCCTAAAATTTATATGGAATAACAAAAGGCCTCCAATAGCCAAAGGAATCCTGAGGAAAAAGAACAAAGCTGGAGGTATCACACTCCCTGATTTCAAAATATACTACAAAGCTATACTAACCAAAACAGCATGGTACTGGCACAAAAATAGACCCACACATCAATGAAACAAAATCAAGAGCCCAGAAATAAACCCACACATCTATGGACAGCTGATTTTCAAGGGAACCAAGAGCATACGATGGAGAAAGGAGAGTCTCTTCAATAAATGGTGCTGGGAAAACTGGACAGCCACATGCAAAAGAATGAAAGTAGACCCTTATCTTACACCACGCACAAAAATCAACTCAAAGTGGATTAAAGACTTGAATGTAAGACTTGAAACCATGAAACTTCTCGAAGAAAACATAGGCAGTACGCTCTTTGACATCAGTCTTAGCAGCATATTTTCATGTACCACGTCTGACTGGGCAAGGAAAACAAAAGAAAAAATGAACAAATGGGACTACATCAAACTAAAAAGCTTCTGCACAGCAAAGGAAACCATCAACAAAACGAAAAGACAGCCTAACAATTAGGAGAAGATATTTGCAAACCGTACATCAGATAAGGGGTTAATAACCAAAATATACCAAGAACTCATACAGCTCAACAACAGAAAAACCAACAACCCAATTGAAAAATGGGCGAAAGATCTGAACAGAGATTTGTCTGAAGAAAATATATGGATGGCCAACAGGCACATGAAAAGATGTTCAGTATCATTAGCTATCAGGGAAATGCAAATCAGAACTACAATGAGATATCACCTCACTCTGGTCATAAGGGATATAATTAACAAGACAGGAAACAACAAGTGTTGGAGAGGATGTGGAGAGAAGGGAACACTTGTA